ACGATCTTCGTTGATGGATCTTCTAACGAGAGGGGGTGCGGGGCAGGAATCCTCTTGCTCGCACCAGGAGGTGAGCGATTTGAATATGCTCTGCGGTTCAACTTTCGGACGTCAAATAATGAGGTCGAGTACGAAGCACTCCTAGCAGGCCTGCGCATTGCCAAAGGACTGGGGGCCAATCACATTAAGGTATTTAGTGACTCTTAGCTAATTGTAAATCAGATCAAGGAGAAGTACCAAACAAAGGACCCCCGAATGGAAAAATATCTAAGCAAGGTCAGATTGTACCTCGCTCATTTCGGGACTTACGAGGTCAGTCAAGTTCCAAGATCTGAGAACTTTAATGCGGACGCCTTGGCCAAATTGGCATCAGCATATGAGATCGACCTGGCTAGATCAGTCCCGGCCGAGATCTTGGACACTCCTTCAATCTTGGAGCCAGATGTAATGGAGGTTGATACTCTATCACCCACTTGGATGGACCCAATCGTGGAGTTCATAAAAGGAAACCCACCGCAAGATCCGAAGGAGCAAAAGAAGATGGCGCGAAGAGCAGCTCGGTTCACCCTCCGAGAAGGAATGTTGTACCGACGTGGCTTCTCCCTGGCTCTCCTCAAGTGTGTGACTCCCGAAGAAGGCCTTTACATTCTTAGGGAAGTCCATAAAGGGGTGTGTGGAAACCACTCTAGCGCCAGGTCGTTGTCGGCCAAGGTGGTTCGACAAGGGTACTATTGGCCCAGTGTCGAGCAAGATGCAAAGCAGTTCTTGAAAGCTTGTGACAACTGCCAGCATTTTGCAAACATTATCCATCAACCTCCCGAACTGCTCATCCCCATCTCGGCCCCATGGCCATTCGAGCAGTGGGGGGTAGACATCATAGGACCTTTTCCTCTGGGCAAAGGACAAACAAAGTTCGTCGTTGTCGCTGTGGACTACTTCACTAAGTGGGCCGAAGCTGAGGCACTATCCCACATCACAGAGTCCAGGGTCACGTCGTTCATATGGACAAACATTGTGTGCCGCTTTGGCATACCAAATACTATCGTGACAGACAACGGAAAACAATTTGACAATGCAAAGTTGAAGGATTTTTGTAGAAAGCTGGGCATAAGCCACCTCAGTTCGTCCCCTGCACATCCAAAATCAAATGGGCAGGTTGAAGTAGTAAACAAGATCATAAAGCGAGGACTCAAGCTAAGGTTGGACTCCAAAAAGGGAAGGTGGGCCGAGGAGCTACCTGAAGTTTTGTGGTCATATCGAACCACCCCAAGGGAGTCAACTGGCGAAACTCCGTTCTCGCTAGCCTTTGGTTCCCAAGTTGTTGTACCAGTCGAGATCGGCATACCAACAGACAGGTGATTGGTTGTTGCTGAACGGACGCACTAAGCATGGTAACAATTATATAGATGCAAGCGCACACCTGTCAGAGTAATATAAAATGGATGGAGTATCCAAGTATCGATCCTCAAGGACTTCTAAATAATTTCCAAACTCTAAAGTTTCAAAGAATAGTGAAT